GTCATTAGTGCTGACCTGGAGCTCCGTTCAGCCCAGAATGATGGCACGGCTCTAAATAAAGGGCAAGCCAAGTGTCTTCTAGTGTAAAGGTCACTGTGAGGGGTCAGTGGGACAGAGGACAGCGTCCGGAGCTGCACTCTGTGGAGGGACGTGGGGTGGGGCTATGCACGAAGGCACAGTGTTCAGGTGCTTCTGCCTCAACCACATGCTGCTAGAGAGGGAACAGCCATGAAAAAGGGCCTACTGCTCAGACCACGGGCTGGGGTCCTTCCGGACAGAGGGGTGACCTGTCCTTGCACAGGATAAGTGCCACCTTCCCTGGTCACCAGCTCTGCCCTGGAAGGCCAGCTCAGGAAGAGTGCGGGGCGGCCTCGTCCTGCCTGGTCCAGAGATGGGGGACCCTCACCTGGAGAAAGGAGAGCACAGGCCTCCTCTCGGTCTCCACATAGCGTGGGGTGTGGGATATAGACCCTCACAGTCAATGGGGAAGCATCCAGCTCCTGGGGACAGAGACTCTCGCCTCCCAGCCAGCACCCTGCCTTGCTGTATGTTAGAAGCCCTCATCTCTGCCTGGGGCTTCCTCTTACCCTGGAAGAGGGACAGCCAGGGTGCCTGGGGAATGAGCTGAGGGCAGGCTGGACCAGCCTTCCCAGAGACTCTGTCCACCGACACAGACCCTGCCTGTAGGTGGTTGTGAGAATGAAGAGCCACTGAGCCTGGAGGATCTAAGCAGCAACCTGCCGGAGAATGGTCCTTCCCTGAGCTGAACAGAATTCTGAGGAACAATAGCACGGGCCATCTGACCCCAGGGCACAGCCCTGACGACGGGTGCATGGACTCACCCAGCTGGCCCACTAAGTTTACCGGCGGTGCCTGCGCTGGGCTCTGGCAACCTCTGTGCTGCCTTCAGCAGAGAGGGATGAAGCCAGGCCCCGACCCTCTGCAGCCAGCCCACCCACTCTGCGCGGGCCCAGAGATGTTGGATGAGCCGGGGTCCCAGCACCCCCAGCTTCCTCCCATCTCTGACACACCCTCGCTCCCTCCCTCGCTTAGCAGCAGGTGGGCCTTGGGCCTCCACATGATGGGAGAATGTGAGCACCACCCAGGTCCCACCAGAGAGCAGTGGCCACAGCCCTCACCAAGCACACGCCGTCCACCCCCACAGCTCAGGGCGAGGGCCCACACCATGGAGGGGCCTGAGCCTGCAAGCTGCACTGTGTGGCTCCAGCCCTGCCTGGATGGAAGGCTTTAAAATCTCTGGAAACCTCCAGGAAACACTAGGAACCTCCACCAACCAGCAGATGCTGATGTGGACGGCAGTCACAGGCTGCTTCCCCGTCAAGGACAGTTGGGGGTCTGAGTCAGGGTTGCAGGTCTGATGCCTGAACGTGGGTTGGGCCATCTGCTGACTGTGGGCATCCTGGGCAATCCCAGCAGTCACTGCAGCTGGCCAGTGCTTGTCTCTGGGTCTCTGACCCTGGGATCCTGGTCATGCAGGCGTGGTCCGCTCAGCCCAGGCCTCAGGAAGTGACGGCAGCAGGTGTCCGCACCTTGAAGTCTGTCTGTCTACCCTGCTCCTCAGCCCACTGACCGGAGGGTGGAGGTGAGGTCCAGGCCCTTGTCCACACGCTGCCCACATGGGGGGCTGCCCCTCTGTCCTCTCCAGACAGAAGATGCCAGGCCCTGGGGAGGCTCCTGGGGGCAAAGGCAGGGTCTCTGGAGCTTCAGGTAGCCGGGGGCTCCATGCGCAGGGAGGAAGCCATGGGCGAGCCTGCGGGCTCGTGTGCAAGGACTTGTGTGCAAGGACTCTAACCTCCTGGCCAGTGTCTAGGGTTCGACTGGTGCCTCTCTTCCTGCTACCGACTGTGAGTCCAGCGCTGCTGTGTCTAAGCTCTGGGAAGCTGCGGAGGCAAAGGCCCAATCTGGTGAACGAAGTTTTCATTCCTCAAACCTGCTCAAATGCCCCTTCGTTCAGTCAGCCCTGTCCAAGTCCAGGTCAGCAAAGGACCGCTGTGTTGTCTTGCACAGTCTCGGGCCCGGTGCCCACGACCCGCACTGGGGGCTGTGCATCAAAAGCATCAGTCGGACCCTAAGATGGTCTTCCCAGGAGCTCAAGCCATCCCTGCATGAGTGAAAGGACAGCTGATAGGCTGAGTGGCGCACGAGCAGGTTCCCAGCGCAGGCTGGCTCTGCCACTTCCCATCCGCACGTTCTCAGACTCCACATCCTGCTGGAACTCGGCTCACTTCAAATCCCAGCCCCCACACACCCCCGTCTGCATGAGCGTTTTCTCGTTAGCAGACACAATTCATACGCAAGGAAACTTATTATGCACATGGAGCGAGAAAATAGAAAAGCAGAAATTAAATTAGATGGCAGCCCACAAAGTGCCCACTGTGCAAAAACACACCAGCTGGCTAATTTGTCTGGCCTCCCCAGAAAACGCCAGGGTCTCACCGGGGTCCCTGGGCCCGGCTCCTGTGGCTCCCTGAGGCTCAGAGGAAGAGGAGGGGGCCCTGCGTTCCAGCTGAGCAACCCCAGATGCAGCTCGTAATCAATGCTGACCAGACTCTGCCTGTGGGCCTCGGAGCTAATGAGGGGAGGATGGCACGCTGGAGTCCACGGCGGGTAGCCCTCTCCCAAGGGTGCCCGTCCACATGGCTGAGCCCGAATTCAGCAGGAACCCACCTCAGGGAGAGGAATTCTGGAATCAGGGGCCTGCGGCACTCACACAGCTGAGGGCTTAACCAGGTGCCACTGTAGGGCCCGGAAAGGCTTGTCTACACACATGGCAGTCTATGGGGACAGCTGGTCCCCGAGTTCACAGCACAGCCTGGCCTCCTTTCCCAGCATCTCAGAGCTTGAGGACAGTGGGCGGTGGTCTGCGGCTGAGGGGTTCCTAGAAGTAAGAATGAGGCTGGGGTGGGACGGCCAGAGATTTGAATCCAGAGGTTAGACTACAGGGGTGATTCCTCCTGGACATCAGGCCCAAGGCTGCCTGGTTTCTGGGGGCCAGGCCTGGCTGAGTCTGCTCCCTCACCAGGAGCCCAAAGCCACCTGGCTCCCTGCTAGTGGGCTGAGCCCTGTTCTGGGACCCTGGGCAGGACCTGGCTGGCCACACTCATGTCCATTGGTGACCAGACAGTGTGGGGCTTATCAGCTCCTTAACTTAGCCTCCCAACTCCGTGACTGACCTCCGGAGCCGTCCAGGCTCCGGGGCCTGGGGCAGGTGGACTCGCTCGAGTACGAGACTGTCCTCCCCACACTGCCAGCTCTTATTCCAAATGCTCTAGTGGCCACCCACTGCCAAGGCCCTTGTCCAGCCAGCTGAGTGTCCGTCCTGTCCTGTCCATACTGGGGCCCCTCAGTGCTGAACAGGAACATGGAGCCCCCACAGAATAGACATGGAGCACACGGGCAGGCCCCTGCAGTGGGGGTCAAGGCCTGCCCTGGACAGTGCAGCACTCACACCAATCCTGATCTAGCTGTCCTCTGGCCTCCTGACGGGCCCCCATGCCACCTGTGGCTTTCAGGGAGCAGTGATGTTAGAACCTGGAGGGGGCTGGAATGGGGGGCCAGAGCCCCACTGCAGGCACCCAGCCTCTCTCCTGCTGGACCATAGTCCATGAAGTTTGTGGGGTCACCCCTTGCCCACCTTGTCCATGATCCTTCCCCCTACAGAGAGGGCCTGGGGCATGGCCTCCACCCCAGCCTTGTGTGCTGACTCTGAGGGCTCACTCCTGCCTGGGTCTCCCCGGACCCCTGTTCTTCTCATTGCCCCCAAAGCCACTCAGATGCTGCTCTGAGCTCTGGGCCCCTTGTCTGTCATGGTCACCGCTGTCTCCCACTGGGGATAACAATGCCCTTATCTCCTGACTGACCACACCACAGCCTGGGGACGCCTCCTCTGAAGGATCCGAAGCCACAGGACAAAGCCACTGAACTCAGGCTGGTGTGCGAAGAGGTCTCGATTATGGTGAATTCTACTGCAGGGTGACCAAGTGGCCTCTGCACCAGGGACACTGGTCCTCCAGACCCCATGCCAGTCACAGCTGGGACTCTGGCGCCTTCTCAAGCTTTATAGTTTTAACCTTTTTAACTTGTAAACGATTCCCAGCTTGCCCAGCCTCATGTCCCGCCAGCATCCCCTCAGCTGCCCTCCCCACAGACGCAGACCACCAGGCCTCCCTCTCAGAGCTGCGGAGTGGGTTCAAACCACCGTCCTTCCTGATAACAGCTGAGCACTGGGCCGCTGTGCGACCTCGTCCCTTTAAACAAGAGCACGACATAAAGCAGACCTTTCCCCCCTCAACCGTTTCCAGCACACAGCTCTTCAGGCAACACGCTGCCACCACCACCGTCCACTCCTGAACTGTCCACTGCCCCAAACAGGAGGGCCGCACCCTGAGCAACGGCCTCAGTGGCCTCTAGCAGACGTGGTGGCTCTGCATCTGAGGGGGCCTTCCGGACCGGGCCACTTGGGTTCCTGCTTTCCCACACTCAGCACAACCAGGGCCAGCCAGCGAGTCCTGCCGTGCCCAGGCTCTGCCAGCAGTGACCCCCAGCTTCACGGAGACAGACCCTGGGGAAGGCCCCAGCCGTGGTCAGTGGCTGTTGTTGCTACTGTGAGCAGAGCCTCTGTCTCACGTTCTCCCCTCACACTCATCCCAGGAGGCTGGGGGGCAGCACCTCCGTCACCACTTTCCCATCAGCCCACTCACCCCAGGAGGCTGGGGGGCAGCGCCTCTGCCCCCACCTCACCAGCACATTCACAGGCTAGCAATGCTGGGGGGGCAGCACCTCAAAAAGAGACCAGGTACAGAGGACCCCAAGATCTCAGTACCTCCCACAGCCATGCCCCAGAAACAACGCCTCAGGCCTCCAGCCCCCAGTTTGGCTCTCCACCGCCCCTGAACGCAGCTACATGGCCGCTGGCCAAGGACTGGCTGGGCACGCGAGCCCTCTGAGTGGCCAGGCTCTGGCGTCTGGGTGCCTCTTACCGTCCACGCAGGCGGGCCGGGCCCTTGTGGTGCCAGCGATCTGTCCCTTCCTGCATGCGCAGCGCGCCGTCTGTCGGGCAATCGTCCTCCGAGGCTGGCTGCTGTCCCGGTCCAGGGTCACAATCTCACAGGTGCCGGCGGCCAGCTGACCTACAAGACAGAGCAGATGTGGCTGAGTGCTGGGCCTGGGACCCCAGCTCAGGACAGATCAAGCCACCTGCCCCAGGAGCCCCCGACAGTCCGGCCGGCGGGGTCTGGCTTTCCCAGGACAGGGCTACACCCCAGAGGAAGTTTTCCACCCCCACTTGTCACCACACGCCACCACAAGACCACAAGGAACCTCTGGCTTCTGTTCCTTCACGAACAGGTGGGCTCAGAGACCGGGTCAGACTCCTTGATCTCCTGAGAGTCTCTGTGGAGCAGACACATTGCAAAGATGAGACGTCCCAGGGCTTAACAGACACATGTTCACAAGTGTGTACACGTGGCCGGGTGGGCAACACACACACTCTCGTGTGGTCTCACATGTGCTCATGTGTACACACACACACACTCTCAACTATACAAAGCCAGGGGCTCCCACAAGCCACACCCCTGAGATGGACACCACGTGTCCCCTCTCCTGTGGGCCACTATGGACACTAGAGGCCAGTGGCACAGGGCCCAGGATCTATCAGCACACACGGGGCCCAGACAAAGCCCAGGAGGCATGTGCAGGCTTGTAATGCTGCCAGGGGGACACTGACAACCCCACATCACAGACACCTGCGACCAAGTGGACGGACACTCAAAATCCACGAGACACGTTTATCCAGATTGTGACATCCAGGTGCTTGCCTGGTGCACTCAGTCCGCTTCTCTCATGAGCCCAAGGAAACTGGCAGGTGGAGGGAGTGACCAGGAGAAAAACTACCAGCAATGACCTTCATCTGTGCTGGCCCGTGATGCACGACTCCCACGAACACCGCTGACCACCCGCTGCGACACGTGAGCACTGGGTGTGTCGTGTGCAGTGGAGGAGGGTCAAGCTACCTCGGGGGACATAGGCTGGGCCTCGGCTGCTCACTGCCCCTCATGTCCCCACCCTGGCTGCCCACGACTGTGCGGTAGCCCCACTCCCTGAACAAGGAGATCACCTTGGGGGACCCTGAGAAATGGTCTGCCCAGTCAATCCCAGCTGGCCACCCAGCTCCCTCACCGGCCTGTTGCTAGACTTGAGTCCATTGAGGACTAAGCCGCTGCCCATGTTTGGGGACACTGAGGCACAGGCAGGTGGGCAGACATCCGGCTTTGTCCATGGCTGAGGTGAGAGGCAAGGGCAGAAAGGAAAAGGCCATCTGAAGCCGGGACAACCCCCTCCATCATGGGAAGGCCAGCCGAAGCTGGGACAGCCCTCCCCATCATGGACAGGGCAGCAAGAAGGCCAGCTAAAGGCAGACATACCACCCCATCACTGACAGGGCAGTGAGAAGGCCAGCTGAAGCTGGGACAGCCCTCCCCATCACGAAAAGGCCAGCTGAAGCCAGGACGGCCCTCCCATCACTGACAGGGCAGCGAGAAGGAGGCCAGGTGAAGCCGGGGCTCCTGTCACTGACACCTAACACCTGCCCCTCAGGCCACAGTACTCTCTACAGGCCCCGTGGTCAGTGCTGGTACAGGGATGAGACTGCCCAGCACACACCAGGATCTAGTTCAGACACAGAGGGTGCTGAGGACAGGAGACGGGGCCACTGGGGTGGAGGTGATGCTGACTGCAGGGCCCTTTCATGCCCCCCCCTTACCATGCATAAATGAAAGAGCCTCATGTTTTAACAGAAATTAATCAAGACATTAATCATGGTTTATGAATTCATAGATGAGACACCCCCTCATTTACTGATATATGAGGGAAATGTCCTCCTTTATTAATTTATTAGTAAAATTGTCCCATTTCATTCATTTATCAATAAGACGTTCCCTCGTTTACACATTTTCTGATGGACGTTCTCCTGGCTCTCACACTTATTAATTAAGTGCCCCGGTTATTAATGTGCTCACACAAACCCCCTTCATTAATTCAGTGAGACACCCCCAATTTACTCAGAAGTATTAGTGAAGTGTCCGGGCTGACTCATTTATCGAGGAAAGCCCCTTGCTTGTTAAAGTAGTCATTAAATGTTCCCAGTTTATCAGTGTATTAATGAAACAGCCCCCATCTTAATTTATCACAGAAATGGTCCCAAATTTGGTGATTAATGAATGCAGGGTCTCCCAGTTCAGACACTCACTCGTCAGTCTCCGGGCCTGCGTGTTTATTGAGCACCCTCACGCGTGCTGGGCAGCTCTCGGCACGGAGCTGCAGGACTAACCCAAGGACCCCGAGTCCCTGCAGGTTCAAATCCTCAGCAGCTCTGAAGGAGGAGGATGGGCAGTCTCCCCTTGTTCCTATTTACGGTCTGAGAAACCCACTAGGGGTCAGTTAGGAGTCACCTGAGCTCATGACACATTAAAGCCTCATTTGTTAGTTTACCAGTGAAGTCTCCTGCTCAAGTCTTAGAGCCAGGATGGCGCCCCTGCCTCACGCTCCGAGCGTGCTGTCGGCAGTGAGCGGGCCTGGGGAAAAGATCTGTGTGGGGAGAGGCGGGAGGTGAGCCAGAGAGAGGCAGACCTTTGGGAAGGACTGACTAACACTGCGCCTGTGACAACGGGCTCGAGTCCATGAGAGGTAATGAGGGTGCTCAGGTGATGCTCCACCACGATGCTCTGAGGGCCACTATGAGCTGGAGTTGACACAGCAATGAGGTCTCCCCAAGTTACTAATAGTGACATGCTCCCCCTAAATATTAATGCACTTCATCTTTTGGTTTCCTGACTGCAGGTGCAAAGAGTACTGATTGTGGAGCTGAGCAAGCTGTAACTGTTAACAACCTCAATCTCATCTCCATCTATCATGGTGCTGCCAATTGGCCCAGTGGTGAAAATCATTGTCTTCTTGATGTTGAACTTCAATCCATATTGAAGACTGCAGTCCCTGACCTTCTGCAGCAAGTGCTTCAGATCTTCTTCAGTTTCAGCAAGCAAGGGATGTCACTTGCATATTGTAGGCTGTTGATGAGTCTTCCTCCATTCATGATGCCTCCTTCCTTCTCATAAAGCCCTACTTCCCGAATGATCTGTTCTGCATATAGATTGAAAGGTATGGAGACAGGATGCATCCCTGATGCACTCCCTTCCTGATTTTAAACCATGAGGTGCTTCCTTGCTCTGTTCTGAGGACTGCTTCCTGGTCCAAGTATAGGTTTCACATAAGTACAATCAAGTGTTCTGGAATTCACATTTTCCTCAAGGTTAACCACAATTTGTTGTGATCCATACAGTCAAATGCCTTTGTACAGTCAATGAAATACAGGTAGACATTTCTCTGGTATTCTACTTTCTGCTAAGATCCATCTGACATTAGCAATAATGTCTCTAGTATCACAACCTCTTTTAAACTCAAATTGTATTTCTGGTAATTTTTTGTCAATGTACTTAGTTTCTGGATAATCTTCAGCAGGACTGTGCTAGTATGTGGTATCACTGATGTTGTTGTTGTTGTTAAGTGCCATCAATTCGTAGATGTCTCATACTGACCCTATGAACGAAAGACCTGGACACTTATATAACTTTCATCCGAAGTTCATAGGATTTCTGGAGGCAAGCTAGTTTGAAGCTACTTCCAAGCTTGCTTTAACTGGGGCGGGGGGTCCACCAAACACTGTCCACCATGGGTAAACATTATCGTATTTAATACATCAGTGTCACAGTGTTCAGATTCACAGCAACCATGAGTTACTTCTGTACAACAAATGGACAGACAAGGGCTATATGACCTAGAAGAATGTTTCACCAAAAAACAATTAAAAACACATTATTAGTTTATTATTATTATTATTACTTTTTGCGATAAC